AATTCCCCGTACAGACCGCGTGGGTTCCCTTTTCATTCATCCTATTCCTTTCGCGGCACACCTTTCCTCCTCTTTCTATTGGCTCCTTGCAATCACGTGGTTTTCTAGAATCTGTTAGTATTGCTGTCATTTCGTCGGCGGGTTTTCAGCCGAACAGAATCGTACAGTCAGTCTCCCGGTGTGCCAACATAACACGTGCATTTACACCTTGCCATGACGCTCAGAATGTGCAAGATCTGAATACATCTCTATGCAGTTACTTTATTTCTTCTAAAATTTCTACATTATCGTCCAATGTGAACAACTGGCTACTGTAAGTACTGACTTCAAAACAAATTTCAAGGGCAACATTTTAATTTCCTTTCCTCAAAATAAAAACTGGGCGTGCCACATTAAAGTCAAATTCCTCAGTCTTACTTTCAGCCTTGTGAAGGTCACAAGTTGAGTTCATTTTTCATTACTAGTTGCTGGTTCATTTTAAGTGACTCTTAAGCTTTCTCAAAACTTTTCCCAGAAAAAACATTGCACCCTTGCTCCACTTCAACGGTTGTGAACAAAGTCTATGGGGAAACAAGAATTTTTTTAGTTCCTGGTTATTTTATAAGGAAGTAAAATTGGGAAAAATGTTTCTCAGTCCCAAATTCATGTCTTTCTATCAGTTCTCTGTCTGACCTTTATTCAAGTGATATATGATGGCAAAACGTGGAGGCACTCTCAAATGATTTAAAATAGAGGAAATTTACACTTTTTCAATTTTCTGTAGTGGTGGAGTCAAATATTTGTTTATGTTGGAAATATGTTCTTTGATAAAAATGTGACAGCTAAAAATACAGAATCAACTTGTCCTTCACATTTTCAGAAATGACAATGTGAGCCATTTTTTTAACTGGAGACAAACGTACACTTAAGATCAAACTAGTGCACTTTTTGACTTTGATTTCTCAATGACTTTTGTCAAGTAAGAAACTTTAAAAAGCTAACTTGGCTTGAAAAATATTTAATAACTTATTGCAGCAAAAATAAAGGAAGATCCATATTACAGTGAATAGTGATCAAAGAACACAGTAAGATGTAAATTCAATTTATACATAGAATTCAGTTTTAGAGCTCAAAAAATTTCTTTATTTTTCCCCTTCATCTGCAACGAGCCCATCTTCACATCAGG